ACAGGCTACCAAGAGCTGGCTCAGCATGCATTGCAGTCCAATAGAGCCTTGACAAAAAAATTATACTTTTTTCAACAGGGAAGATTTTTGGATATGCATCAAAAATATATACATAGGTTTATGTCTGTGTAAACAGACAAAAAGCAAAACACAAGAGCCTGTTGTTTAGAAAAGAAGTAGAAAAAAATGAGTTTTTTTTTTCCTTTTTTTTTTTTTTTTTTTAAAGAAAAAAGTTAGGCATCTTGTAAATTCACATTCACATTTTCTTCAAGCTTCCAGTGCCTGTGCATCAATCCCCTGCTTCATATTTTGGACGACAGTGAGAGCCGACTCTGGAAAACAGTTTGCAAAAACAGGATGAGAATCCAAGCTTTTAAGCATGACAAAGGAGGATGATATAAGGTCAGGGCGTTTGCCTCTATACCAACACATTCTCCAAATAAATTCTCTGTTTGTGATTTGATTTGAAATCCCTCTCACAATTTACTTTCTGTGTTATTAGATATATTTGGGATTTTGTCCTTGGCATGATGAGCCCGCAAAGAGGCTCCAGAGAAGAAAAAAAAAGGCGTGCTGTGCATCTTTAAATCTCATCAGTCCACTTCTTTTTGCTTTGTGCCCTGTATCTTATGCTGAAATATCTCCAGGTTTGCTATTTGCTAATTATCTTGTAATCTATGAATATGTGCCAAGCGTTCAACAACACAATGTCAGCTGAGGAAATTAAAGTGATAAAGATATTTGTTTTTACAGGGGGCCATAAATCAAGATGAAAGATCAAACAAAAAATGCAGAACCCACTTCAGTCACATTTGTTTATATTGACAATCTAATCAAATCGACAGATTTTGATCTCAGGAGCTGGCAGAGACCAAAAAGTGAGCTAAACACTGATGAATACTCTAAATGAAGAATTGTGTTGCTCTATAACTGCTGGATTTAGAAGTAAATAACTGCAACGATATGCTGTAACTGTTTACACTGTGAATGGAACAAAAAAAAAGAAGAAAAGGTCATCATGTTAGTTACACCTGGGCTTTACCGTGCAACATATTTCCATGTTTCCTGCAACTTTTGTCTGACAGTTTATCATGTTGTCATTTGTTGTCACCTGCAACTGATATTTGCTCTGTGGTGCTCTGCACATGAGGTGCCCTTGTGTTGTAACTCAGCTTCCACAATTAGATATACGTTTTTTAATGACATGTACATTTAATTGACATTGTAAGTTTCACCAGTGAGGAATCGATAGAAATCAAGTTTATTTTATCTTATCTTAAGACATGGTGGCACCTAGAACATCTGGACTTATCTTTCATATTTTCTGTAAATGACAAAATACATATGTGGCATAAAAATGTTCCTCAGGTAAAAATGTAATCCTTCAGGAAGGACTTTAATTGGATTTTTTGCATCCATTTTTAAATCTGCAGAGAGACAATGAATGTAAATGTTCACACACACACACACACACACACACACACACACACACACACACACACACACACACACACACACACACACACACACACACACACAATGACAACAAGGTAATAAATGCCATGACAGCTCTTTGTTTGAGCCTCTTCAGCTTGTTTGATCTCAGCTGAAATAGAAAAAATACAGTCTGTAAAACCTTTATAAGAAAAAAGTAAGAGTCCAAGAAAATGTAACATGTGGTAAACTGAGGTCAAAGCATGGTTATTGTCAGCTGTAATGTTGGCCTTTTTTTCTTCTTCTTCTTTAAATCAGATGCTTTTGACAGTTTACTGTGTACCATAAGTATGACAGGGCTGCTCCTTTTCATCTCTAGGACTTTTGTTCCTTCTGTCAGATTATATATTTGATTTCATACAAAGGTGTAAAAAAACAAGTGCTCTGTCATTTTACAGTTAGGGAAACTCTCTATTAAACATAGCAGATAAATACCGACAGACACTAATGGCAGAGATATTCTTTTTGTCAGACATCAAATATGAAAATATGCTGTTTATGAAATATCAGGTCCCTTATAGGTAAATTATAATGCAACAACACACTGATGCGTGTCTGTCCTGATTCTCAGAAACACGCTATTCATCGTGATACCTTCTAAGTTCCTTCCAACAGCCCAGCAGCCTGTCGTCCGGGAGGCTGAAGCGCGGATTCGCTTCGGACCGCAGCAGGATCCACCTCAGACTGGTCCTCATTAGATGGAGTAATGCTGAGGGACCTAGCTAAGTAGCGCCAGTGTCTGTCTGACAGAAGGTGGGTGATAATAAGAACAGGGACATGACCTGATAACCGACATCTATGAAACAGTGTCCTGCCCCGCGGCCTGCTCTGCACGAAGCTCCGCAGCGGGCTCCAGCCAGTGTCCGAGCCGCCCAGCAGTCACTCTGCACCGGTCAGCTGAGTCTGCTCTACTCGCAGGCTGACACGCTGCTGATCTTTGCGGTGTTTTCGGTCCAGGGCTGCAGGTTCTGCAGGGCGAACAGAGAGCTGTTCTGCAGGCACAGCGGGTCCGGGGTCACCGGCTGGTTGATGGTCTTCTGGAAGGCCTCCTGCTGCAGCTGCATGAGGATCCTGTTGGCCTGCTGCCGCTCGGCCTCCCGCTCCTCCGCCGTCTGCCGCCTGCAGCAGCGACACGGAGACACACATCCAAGCACAGGGAGGGAAACAGAGCATCTCACAGGCTGAACAAGAACCAGCGATGGAATAATGTGAACAGGAACACAGAAAACAAAGCGAGCACGACTGTATTACAACAAAAAACAAAGGTGGTGTTTTTGTTTCTGTACGGGTCTTTGTGCAGCTTTACTCACTTTGCAAACTTTAAAAATAATTAGTTTATTATAGGGATCAGACTATAAATCGAAAACTTTATTATTGGCAACGAAAAACAACAGTACAAAACACAGTGGTAGCAAATCAGCATTTAGACAAAGACTGTGTGTGTTTGTCAGCTCATTGAATAAGGTGGAAAAACGAATTCTATGTTCAGTATCAC